TCAGTGTACCAGGCAAGGTCCTCGCTCATCTGCTTTTGGCACGAGTGCGTGACCACCTATTACAAGCACAGAGATCTGAGCAATCTGGTTTTACACCCAAGAAGTCAACTATAGACCGTGTCTTAGCACTTTGTGTCCTTGTGGAACGCCGACTTGAGTTTCAACAGGGTTGCAGCTTATGTTGATCTCAAGAAGGCTTTCGACTCTGGAGCCTGAGCCTTGGGTCTCTGTGGGATCCCCCCTGGAATTATTGGTTTGCTGTCTGGCCTGTATTCAGATACTGAGAGTGCTGTCAAGTGTGGGGAGGGCATCTCTGCCTTCTTCCCGGTGTCTGCTGGGGTGAGACAGGGATGTGTCCTGGCCCCAACCCTTTTCAACAATTGTATGGACTGGATACTTGGCCGTACTGTGAACCGTAGTTCCTGTGGGGCATCAATTGGTAATTTCAAGGTCACAGACCTTGACTTTGCCGATGATGCAGTGGTTCTAGCGGAGACATTAGAGGTCTTGGAAGTAGCTCTCGAGGCGCTGCATGAGGAGGCAAAGCCATTGGGACTCTCGGTCAACTGGACCAAGACCAAGGTTCAGGAATTTGGGGACTTATTGGATGTCAATGTTCAGTCTGTGCATTCCTGTGGCGAGAACATTGAGGTCTTGGATAGCTTCACTTATCTTGGTAGTGTAGTGCAGAGCGACGGAGGTTCCGACCGGGAAGTCACTCGACGACTCGGACTGGCCTACGGCGTTATGGACTCAGGAGAACTAAGATCAGGTTCTTCAGAGCACTGGTGATCCCGGTCTTGAGACCTGGACACTGAACAGTGCTCTGAAAGCCCGTCTTAACTCCTTCGGTACTAAGTGTCTTCGCAGAATCATGGGGTATGCCTGGAGGGACCATGTGTCCAATCAGAGGATACTCCATGATTCAAGACCTATTATCAGTCTGATACGAGAGCGCCAACTTCAGCTCTATGGACATGTGGCTCGTTTCCCTGAGGAAGCTCCGGCTCATAGGGTCATCTCCGAGAGGGTTGACCCAGGCTGGAGAAGACCAAGGGGAAGGCCACGGAACTCATGGCTGAAGCAAGTCGATCAGATCTGCCAAGATGTACTGGGAATGGGAAGGAATGCTGCATGGAGGCTCGCTCGGAGGGACCCCAGGAGGTGGAGGCAAAGGTTGGGCGCGGCAAAGCGCAGCCATGTGTATACCCCCTTATGATGATGATGATATATGTATGTATATATATGTATATATATATGCATATGTATTCATACATACATACATATATATATATATATATATATATATAAATGCATATATTATATGCATATTTATATATATATATATATATGTATATATTATACTTATATATATATATATATATATACATATATATGTATATATATATATATATATATATATATATATATATATATATATATATATGTATATATTATATGCATATTTATATATATATATATATATACATATATATGTATATATATATATATATATATGTATATATTATATGCATATTTATATATATATATATATATATATATATATATATATATATATATATATATATACAGATATATATATATATATGTATTTTTATTTTTCGCTTTCAGAATAATTCACTATACGTATTCATCGGCATCTATAGGCTTTAGTAGGTCAAAAGATCTTGAATCAGTTCGGAAATAAGTAGGAAATTTCTTGGAGAGCTGTAGAACAATTGCGCTCCCATTCTGCAACTAGTGCAACACTCCAGAAGAGAGCAGACGCTGACGCAGTCCAAGAGCCTTTCGCCTGAATGAAAGCGAGCAACGGCGCAGGTCGGTCGGACGGGCACCGGAAAGACACGGACAGAGACGATGACCTTCGATGCATCACGATGAAGTCATCCTTCGAAGACTGAGGAGGAGAAAGACTCTCCAAGGGAGCAAATTGAAAGCGAGGTTGTCAAGATGATCTTTTTACGGACATTCTAATAATATCCAAGAATAGCAAACGTCTTCCAAGAAGGACCGAGGACAGCTGCTGTAGGTTCGACGGGCGATACGGGTCAAGATTTAAATCATTGATAAAATATAGTACCTGAGACCAAGTTCCAAGTATAATGGAAACGTCCTTAGAAAATATGCGCACTGCAGTCAGAATTTTCAATTATCAAATGTTATATGAAATGCTTTTATTTTTACCCATGTTATTACTTGATCTTAACCCCTTGGTGCCGGGTATGACGTGTACGTACGTGCTATGCCCACCGTGAGTACTTGTTTGATTGTTTTTACGCATAAATGGCAACACTTGTACTAATTCCCCAATGAGCCAGTTACGAGCACCGCCCGTCTCGCCCGTTTAGCCGTTTCTTTGATTTACGAAATATTTTACGTAATCTTATTTTGCTGTTACTAATGTTAAAAAAAAATATAAAAATTATAATGTTTATGTTAAAAATAACACCATCGATTTTCATAGCACTAGTGAAAAATACGTTTTTCCCGCCATTTAAATCAGGCGCTAGCAGAGCCATCTATCGGCAGACATTTCACGAAAAACATAGAAAGTGGGCACAATATTTTCCTCATTTTTTGTTCATTTTCCCCGGCACCATTGGGTTAAGGTAGGTTTTATTGATGACATATATTTTCTAAGATAATTTGTCAATATCTAAGTTACGTATTACACAGGTTTTATGTGTTTGTATCAGTGCAGAAAATATACATACTATACAATTTACCGCTCTTTCCATCTACTGGTTTCTCTCACTACGTTATGTTACAGAGATTAGAGCCACGCAGTCAAATACATAATGTGAAGATATATAATTGTCGATATATGTATGTTGGCAGTCAACTTCTTAATGAGACTGAAGAAGAGAACTTTATTCTTATGAAATACATCTATTCATATACTTCCCGCATTTTTATCTCGGCAATCAAATGCCGCATTATCTTTCAGTGTAAGACCTGCATGGTCACCCCTATGTTGATTTAAACTTTCCATGATACGTGCGGTTGAAGCTGAAATGGAAGCGAATAAAAGCGTACAAAATACATTAACGAGTTACATTGTTAATTATCATGTGCATATCTATGTAATGTATGGCCAAGATAGACCGGAAAATGAAATACAGGATGACTTTAAAACTTAATGTTTTATTTTCCAGTAAAAATATTCTGTGGAGTGTTTGTTGTATCATTTTACAAGGACGATAGTATGTTTTAACGTACTAATCCGGATGCATCACCCCTCCCCTTCTTTTCAAGACTCACGACCGGCCTGCATTCACCGCTGAATAGAACAGGGCTCCATCTTCCATGCTTGGCTTTCTGCCTCTTCAAACTAGCTGTACAATTGCTTCAGGTCGGGGAATATATAACGTATAACATATAAGGTCGAGTATGATTCCAGTTCATGGCTATAATATACTTGGAAATGAAATTATATAAAAATAACAATAATAACAACAAAGGTCATAAAGATAACAATATGTTATAATTATAGTTTTATCATTAATCTTTCCTTTATCTTTGTTTACTAATTTATATGATGCCCAAGGAATAACTTTAGTTAATCAAGACAATTTAGTATTTGAGATTCTTTCATTTGATGGTAACAAACAGTATGCTGACCATGATTCATATTCTTTCATACAGAATTTTATCGAAATGCCCAATCCCTCCTGTCGTTGAGCTGGTATTGATGCGAAGATCCCCTTCTCAGTCCTCAGCCATAACATATGCCGTATGCCTGAGTATTTTGACGATTTCTTCGGTCAGTGTCTTATTTCCTGTAGCACTACTGGCGTGAACTGCTTGTCTGAGGCCGAACTTATAGATGAAATGCAGGAAGCCATATATCAACCATAAAACCCAGCCGTTGAATAGAGTGAACAATCAGATGAAAAAATGGCCCTTTACACACACACACACACATAAATGCATCATGTAAAGAAATTAGATAGCAATAAAAATGACTGACTTAGTTAAAAACTCACACTAGCACACCTTGCCTAAAATTTGATAATTATTCTGGCAATCTTCCCATCACAATGGGACCTCCAAACATTTTTCTAGCCTAAAATCCAAACAACTTTTTCCCTACTGCCCGTCATTGAGGCTGAAATGTTATAGCCTCTCAAAGAATTCTGCTTCTGGCCATGACAATGTCCCAGTAACTATAATCAAGCAAAGTTTTCCATCCATACTGAAACAGAAGAAAGACCAACGGACACATAATTTCTTTCCAGATAAAGCAAAATTAGCTGAAAGTTTATCATCTAATGTAATTAGTAGAACGTATGCAACAAAGCCTTTTCTACTCTGTATCAGTTCTAGTGTTTTTTTCAGTGAAAAAAGGAGAAAACTACCAATAAAAAAATAAGCGGCCGGTGGGAAGATCTGGGGCGGGGGCGTGTTAAGGGCAGCAGGAGGCGACAGGAGGACATTACGAAAGGCTCTGACTGTCATCCAGTACTGTGGACAAGGTCAATATGCACTTTATTGCCTTCTCAACATCCTATTTGGTAGAACGGGGCTTCAGAGCATTCGCCTTGTTTCTCTCCAAACAAAGGGACGGATCAAAAATTACTGAAGCTGGGGATCTACGACTTCTTAGTGACTTACAGCCTGATGTTGAGAAGCTGATATCCCTGCATCAAGCATATCAGTCCCATTAACAATAACTGTAAAGACAATTAACTATGGGTACTGGTGATATGTTGGTTTACCCTTCCATATTGCTGACACGGCTAAAATTGCTAAATAAATTGGTTTACTACATAAAGTTTTATTTGTGGAATATATATTTATGTTTAATCTTTTTCTTATTTTTATTTTTTATTTTCAATGTTTTCACAACCATCATCATTATTGTTATTAATGATTATCATTATTATCATTATCATTATCACTTATTATCAATTATTATTACTATTATTGTAAATATGATTATTATTTTCTTTGTTTTTATTATTATTATTATTTTATTA